GGTGCAAAAATGGGCATGTGCTACTCTGAGTACCGAGTAACAAGTATTTTACTCAAATTGAACCACTATTGGGAATTCTATCACTTCAGTTAATTGTTTAACTCAAAAAAGGTTAGTATTTGAGTAAAATACCTGGTACTCAGAACTCAGAGTAGCATTTACCCATCTCTGGCTGGATGTAGCCAGTGACGGCCTTAGGGTGAGACAACTGGGACAATTGCCCCACGGCGCCGATCTGGAGGGGCGCCCGTTGGGAGCGCTGGCTGCACTTTTTAGTTCTTAGAAATTAAAAAAAAATACAGATCGTATTAAAATAATTTATTTTAGCCTATCAATGAAGTAAGTGTACTGTAACTGTAAGAGAAATGTTGTACGATATAAAATTCAAATATTACATAATATAAAACAGCTTAAGCAATAAATTAAATTTTTTTAGGGAGAGGAGTGATGATGTCATTGCTCGTGGGCGCCGAATGTCTAAGGCCGGCACAGGATATAGCGATGTATGTCCACGAAAACCTGAAGACCCGAATACTCAATTGCTCTACTCCGTCCGATTAGCAACAAGTTAAATTTCTTATCGTTGAGATATCCTGGAATGCTTCTTCTCGCCTTTAAACGATAGTTTATCGTCCTCTTATAGTTTTCTGCGATCCTTCTTTGGAATCATATCTCTTCAATTTCGTTCCTCTTCACCCTCAAAATAATATTTCTGGTGACTTAAACACTAATTTCCTTTCTGGCTTCAGTGGTAATTCATAACAGTACAAATGGTAACAATTAAATCTTAAAATAACCACTCTAATACCATTATCAATTCAGCCCAAACAACGAGGATGTTTATTTTCCACACTAATGTAAACTTTTATGAATGTTTGAAGATCTTGTATTCGCTCTTCAAAAATATTTAATCACAATTAAAATCGCTAGAGTGCAGGATTGAAAATTTGTCGAATTTTCATATTCGTTAGTTAGCATTGGTATCGATGATATCTGGAAAAACATTTTCCTCCCTCCATCTTTCCTTTTTTTCCCCACACACCACACCTTCAGATACGACACTTGGATAGACTTAAAGTTGTCGACTTCACTCAGAAATTCTTTTCCTCTTCCTAATAACCTGTACCTAATAATAAATATCGTAGAATATTTAAACTTCTCCGATTCAACCTAGAACAATTATTTTTCGCAACCTAAATTCCCTTACCTTTGAATTGGAAATTGGACTAAAACCCGAAATTAGAATGAAATATATACCTGTTCTATTGACTCGATGGTTGAAATTCCCACTTCCAATTTTTTTAATGCTTTTGATATCCATGCCTACAAATGAAAACGGCTACATTTCATTGCCGTTTGGCTACTAGCTGTTTCCATAAAGCACTTTTATCGTATCTTGATTCCAAATAAAATAGCTATCCCTTGTAAATTTGTTTCCCGTGAAAATCTCTTAGTAGTCTTTCAAATTTCACATGATGATTCACATTCCAATTTTATATCAAAATTTATTTCTTAAGCTGTTTTATATTACGTAATATTTGAATTGTCTAATACAGTTGATTTATTGGTAGATTAAAATTAATTATTTCAATACGTTTTGTAATTTTTTTTTATTTCTTACGAGTGGTGAGCGCCCCTAAAGATCAGCGGCGCCCGGGTTGCCCCACCCTAAGGCGGGCACTGTAATAAGGTAATCCTGTCACATGTTTGCAATATATACAGTGCTATTGAACCAGACATAAAATTGGCGTGGTCATTAAGTTATTTTTTCAGTTGTAATCATATTATCATTGATTCCGATTTTACACATCTCTGCTTTGATACCATTGATCAATTCCATCCTCTTTCAAAGTACCCCTGCAGTTGCTATTTCTAATCAACCTTTGCTCTTCAATCTAACTAGATAGAGGCCTATGGCTCTAGCTTATTTTCTTTTCTGTTAGGTTTTACATCTAGGATTAAATTAATCAATCCTTCATTGTACCCATTAACTCTATGCCGATGATCCCCAAATTTATTTATCGTTCTGTCTGCCAAAATCAAAAAATACTTTATATCTAATGAATGCATGGGGAAAAAACTTCAAGCTGGTAAAATTCAGCCTATTGTCATTGGTTCCAAACCTCTTCTCAGATCCAATGCCAACATTCCTATCTTATACCTAAATGAAAATTACGTCAGCTTCAGTTCCTCTATTAAAAACTTAAGCATTATCATGGACCAAACCATCTCCTGGAAGCAGCCCATTGCCCACTTCTACTAACAGTCACTTTGTACCCTTTTTTTCCATCACTTCCGCCATCTCTTTTCCAAAACCATACTTCATATTTCTCCACCTTAACCTTAACTATGGCTGTGTAATGTAAAGTGGCCTGTCGATGAAACTAGCTTAGTTAGTAAAATTCCTCAATGAGACCCTGGGACATTCTTGTGTCCTTTTTTGAGATTTCATTGTCCTGACCCCTTTTCACAGATCTGCCTCATTACATCACTCTTTTATTGCCTGTTTTGGAATTTTATCCATTGTGAAATCTACCAGGCCTTCATCCTTATCCATACTTAAAATCCTATTGCAATTCCTCTTTACAAATCAATCAGACGTTGACAAATTATGTGTTATGAAACAAACTTTCATTTTTTAAATTTCTTTATACACATTCAATGAATTGTTTAATTTTGAGCATATTACAAGATTTTCTTTCATTGAAATGTTTAATTTTTACTAATCTTGAATATACTCCTGTTTATTCAAGAGATTGCTGTTCTCTTTTATTTGTTTAGTATGACGTTATATTATATTTTTTATATTATTATTTCTAAGACTTTTTTCTTAATAATTGGACTTTCCTTTTTTTGTCCTATTTATTTTTTATATAGCAAATGTATAGTTACACTATTTTTTTAAAATACATCTTTGATAACTAGGTACAAACTTATTCATGTATTTGATTAAGTTAAAGTATACTATGCATACAAATATTTAAATTTATATGTCTATGTATGCAGAGCCAAATTGTATATTCATGTATTTTTTAGTTATGCATTTATAGCAGTAGGTCTTAGGGTCAGGATTAATCTTTAGTTGTCTGTACACCACTATTATTCCTCGAGAACTTGGTCTCAGAATAAATTTGATTTTTCTATTCTTTTCTAATCTATTATTATTTTTTGCGGAACTGATTACTTATTAGCTATTAGGTCTGTAAAGCCGCCTGTATTTGTTTATTTTATTTATTTACTCCCATAATCCTAACTGAATGATTCATAAAACAAATTTAAGATTTGGACTAAAATATTTTACAGGAATAAGATTAATATTAATACCATAAAACAGGGAAACTTAGCACCATGGGGGATGAAGGGAATGATTTCTCCAAAAGTAGAATCACTTTTTTGTTTCCAACAATCAGAGCTTAGGGAACTCCAGGAATTCCCTGTGCTGCTCTCTCAACTGTATCACAGGTAATAAAACCAAGGAGAGATTGAGTTGTGAACATAGAACCTACATTTTGAATCACCTGTACTAAGGTTTAAATATTTCCTGTGTATATGCTTAGTTTCATGTTCATGTTAAATCTATACCTAAACATAATTTTTAATTAACCATTATTGTATTATGAATTAGTAAAGATATAGTAAAAATTATAGGAATTAAATGTATCACTTTTTACATGTATTTAAAAATTCTTATTTCCTTCCCAAGGGAAATCTACCAAAATACAGTTTACAATTAAACACATCGATCAGGCAAATATCATCATACTAATTGTAAATGTATAATGTGATATCACGGAGAAAAAAATCATCAAACTATTCTCAAGTTAAATTTTCTAAAATGTTAACTAATGATTTTTTTGGAATAAATTTACAATTTTTACCTGATAATTTAAATATATTATCAGATCTAAAATTACTAAATTTCAATAAATGTATTTAAGGTTATTAACATATGTATTACACATCTTTGAAATATTTTTATATTACACTTCTTTGACATTAGTGCAATAAATCGGTTTTTTTTAAACTAATAGCCTTGAATCTGTGGATTTTAATTCAAATTAAAAAAAAAACTTTTAATAAGAGAATATTTTTTTAGTTTCCATAAGAAATTTGGGTTTCAGTAAAATAATATTAATTTTCAGAAATTATTTTCGTAATGCTACATATCCTACGATTTTGTATGTTAGATATCGTTTTTCATAAAATTCCCAGCTTTTTAACGAAGTATTATACATATACATTCCGCCTGTTATCTCCCAAAATTCATTTTCAATCTGAAAAATTATTTTTCCTTTATCAAATTCTTTCACAGTTTATATTGAGCATTTTTTTATTACTACTAACAATGAGAGACATTAATTATTTAAAATAAAATAAATTAAATTAAAGCTACTTTAGAGGAAGAAATTTTGGATCATTAGGCAATAAAGATAATTAATTGGTAGGGGACATCAATTAGGATAAGACCTACCTGATATTAAAGACCACTTAATTGTGCATTGATATACAGAGTTCAATTAAAATTGTTAAGAACCATTTTCGAGGAAATTGTAAAGTTTATGACATAAAGTGGCACTTCCGATTAGCTGATTTTAATGAAAAAGTTGCTGTAACATCCCAGCCATTTACCTACCTTAAATACGCAATTTCAGTTTCGTATGACTTTACATGTTAGAGTAGACTTCTTCACATAGACACAGACTATTTTGCCAAGACTTGGTTATTTGGATTTGGGAAACCTCAAATCGTGTATCACAGTTGAAAACTCGGATTCGAAAATTTTTGTGATCACATTACTTTCCCTTACTATACAGGTAAGCGAAAGTAGAAATTATATACAAAATTCATGAGATAAACCACAATTAGAAGACAAAAAGTAATAAAAAAAACATAACAATAAGAACAATGAGAGAAACATAATTCAAAATTAATGACATTGATTAGCTTCGCAACACAACAAAGTATTTGGAAAAAGGGAGTACCAGAACAGACTTTAATAACTAATTTTGAGTAATAGTTTAATTTTCAGGTTACAAGAAGATTTTTAAGCAATTACTTATTAGACAAATTTAAATAGTAATTTAATTTTTAAAAAGATATTCTGCTACATAAGCAATGTAAAAAACACCAGTATTTAAAAACATATAGATATATTTTTAAAAAATAATTAAAAATTGCTTTTTATTCTTAATCGATTTTGTCAATTTCAAGATGTCCGAATGTTTTAATAAAAGAATGTTAGTAAACTGAGGCAGTGAAATCAAATAATTAGCAACACAACTTCAAAATCCTGATATATTTTTCTGTAATGAAAAGTTACATAAATTAAAAATTTCTATACTTTAAACTAAACGAAATTTATATCAATAAAAATTTAGGGAACGAACAATATATACAAAAATCTGAAAATTATTTCAGATAGTATAAAGGAAAACGTAATAAGATAAATTATACAATTAAAATTATTTGCTTTACACCTAAGATTCATGGTATTATTCAATAGTAATAAGACTAACTTCAGAGATAGGACCTGCTCTCACTTCCCGTTGAAGTGGAAGATTTCTCAATGTTTCGATAAAATTTTTGAAAAATTAGTAATTAAAGGAATAAAATATAAGTTCTTTATATTCATTTATTTTTTTCCACTTTGTGACGATCAAAGGAGAGTAAATATAACTTTTATAATTTATAATTATGAGTAAACAATTAATGAATATTATATTTACTTAAACCATACTCGCTAGTATATTATCAATAAAATTTGGATATTTACTTTCAGTCATTGAAATACTATAAGAAAAATTAATGTAATATTTTATTTAGATCAGGGAAAACAAGAAAAAACAACATAACATGTACAAAAACAATGATATTTTAATTTTTGTCTATTGAGAATTCATTTTTTCTTAACATATTAACATAATCGCACGCACTACCGTACACGTTCAATACACATTTAAGTTATAGAAAGATAACACATCATTTTGAATATAATATTTAAAATTACCTACAAATTCACAGTTAAATATTTTTGTTGAAAGAACCAGAGTTTACTTTTAAACATGGCCATACCACTTAAATACAGATGTTAATAATGCTCAAATAGTGAACACAATTTACCTATTATACATAATGCACACATTATAACACCTGTGCATGCAATAATTATTCTACTGAGACAAATCATTGCAAGATATCAGTACTAAAACAATAACAGTTCATTTAAAATAACATGTATATGTATAAATATATATGCAATAAATAAAAATGTAATTAGGAGACCAAACATAATTCACACACACTTGTTTACATAAACCTAAGTGGAACATCATCCTGTAAGGGTTTAAAAATATAAAAATTGCATAATTGTTATTATTAGGAATAAAGCCTTTTAAGGCTGACAGTAAAGCTGGAAATGAAGATAAAAAAATCAGAATTAAGTATGGATGTTGTGAATTGTTCCCAAGTGATTTTATAATTAATACTTCAACTATCTCCATCTTCCTCCTCCTCTTCTTCGGATTCTGCTTCTGCCAGCCAAGTTAGCCAATTATTTACCTACAAACATCACATTACAATTTATTCAAGAAATAGGTAGTCAACAGTTATAAATCAATTGTTTGGTGTAACCACATCTCCTTCTCCACTAGCTATTCCTTAAATTAGAAATATGGTTAATCATTTCCATATCATCACGAATACAATTTATTTAAATACTTGAACTATGAATAGTAGCATAAAAAATAGGGGAGCAATGTTCTTCTTGTTACATTTATAGGAAGAAAGTAAATTCTTAGAAACTTCATTTCATTTATCTGATAACATCAGACAATGTTTCAAACATAGTTATTCATTTTCAGGTCTATTTTTTCAACAACATTTTAAAAAATATTGAACATTGTATTAATATGAAACCAAACAGTTATGCGTGAACAGCCAAATTGCAAAAGCCTGCCTGGCCTATACATGTTAAAGTTAAAATTATTTTTAAAACTATAATGAATATTTTAGGAACCACAATTTATGTTTAATTTTTATTGCATGCTTGACATAAACATCATATATATATATATATATATATATATATATAAACTAAAGTTTGCGTTTTGTATATCTGAATATGTGTAAAAACAAGATTGACCAGAAAACCTCAAAATCGTACTTTTTAATAAAATTTTACTTACAAGCTTTTGTAGCGTGGCTGTCGTTATATATTAAATAACGACTAATTAATTAATCAATATATATAATCAATATATTAAATTAATCATATAATTTACAATAAAATGTATCATTATTAAAAATTAACCATTGAGAATATTTAGAAAAGAAAATAATAATTTCTTCCTGAAAATATAACAATCTAAAAATCTGATATACACTTATAAAACAAGTTGGAACAAATTTAATATATATATATATATATATACTTCATTAATAAATGATCTCTTGGAGGCCACAGAGAAGCACATGTGGAAATTGGAGGCTTTAATAATAAATATATCTCAGATGTTATCTTAGCTTTTAGAAAAATATTAACAATATTTTTCCATCAAAAATATACAAAGCAACTTATTTGAATAAAATGACATGACTGAGAGAACTATTTTGTGAGTAGATCTACACAAGATCAGTAGGCACAACAAGATTTAAATGAGCCGATGGACAGAAAGCAGATACCCAAGCTAAGCTTGATTGCCACAACTGGAAGGCAATGACTCTTCTCAAGAAATGATTAGCAGTTGACGTTACAGGAGACTACTATACGAGTTGTAGTGCCACGAAAGTAAAGTAAGTAAGGCGATCCTATGAATTTAGCAAAAAGTGTAGGGGTTAAATATTGGATTTATATAATTCTTTAATCAAAAGAAATAATATAAGTGTTGAAATAATAAATTAAATATAATTTGGTTAATTAGAAGAATAATGTATTAATAAAAAGAACCGCTTGAAAAAAGGAAAAATAAAATTAATTAGAGAAAAAAAAACGACATGTGATAAGTATACCCTGGCACCTAAAAGACAGTGGGATCAGAGTGGGCTCTTGCAACAAACACCCAGTTACCTCCAAAAGACATGTCTAAACATGATTCAGATATCACAAATCTTTAAAACTGACTTGCTCCATCTCAATCTGCCGATTTAATATTTTTGAAAGTTATGAAATCACCCGTATTTTTTAATAACTTATATTAAAGCTTTGGTAAGAATTTAATAATCAAAATTACCTTCGTCACTTTTCTATGTAATTTCCTTTCCTTTGATACCCCGTTAGTCCTAATCAACCCTACCGAGCTGGGATTAATATTATTAAATAATTTAAATATTTGTCCATCTTGGAATAAAACAATATCACTTAAAGGGAAAAAAAAGGATTAGTATGAGTAGAGCTAGAGAAAAAAATTACCAGATAACAGGGAATATATGGTAACACTCAACTCAACTATGGCTTGCAGTACCAAGGGTCATGTTTTTTTTTAACACCTCAGTTGATCAGAATCAAAATTATATTTAGGTAATACAAGTTAACATTAAGGTAATGACAAATAACACGATAGGTTCAGACTGTTTTCTGAACCATAATGAAATAAGCACTCTTATGACTTAAATGATGAACATATCTCAGTTAATTAATGATAAAACGAAAACCTCACAGTTAAACAAATTTATGATCACCGTGGAACTCTATCCTCGGAACTTTATATCCAAAAACATCGAAAGTACATATCTCTAATTTATAAACAGCTAATACTAATACAATATAGTAAAAATTAAATCTGTATCACTGTATACTTAAAAAAAATATATATATATATTTATTTGTTCCTCCTGTGAAATTCACCAAAATGAAGAGAGGTTTCATTGCCTACCGTAAATATATATACATATTACATAAATGTGTACCTGAAAAAGCGCTTTCCCTTTCCCAGGATAAATGTCAGTCACATCTTCCCGCCATTTAAGGAATGCTTCTTCTTCAACTATTTCGAGGTCGTAGAGATTTACAAACCACCGCAAAAGCATGCCTATAAATACAAGAAAATTTTTACTCAGCTCCTCAAATAAAAATGTTAATCTTAATCTATTTTAAACTTATCATTCAATGTAACTTGATAAAACGATTTATTAATAATTCTACATGTTTGATATCACAGTATATTAAATAATCATTTGAAATAACTAAGAAAAATTGTTTAAGCTACTTAAATAGTATTAGTCCGTGCTACAGATCCCTTTTTATCAAATTAACATCCACCTGAAATTTCATAAATAGCTGTATCACAGTTGTAACCTACAAACGTGTGATTTACGAAAATGGTCGGAATTGGGGCGTTTTCAATCTGGTAAGCTTTGTCTATTTAATTAAGTACTAAAAATTAATAAATACCCTTGTGATTCTCCCTGCAACACTTAAGGAGACAGCCCTGATGAAGGCCTGAACTTCAGGTCGAAACATCGGCATATGTAAAAAATAAATATTATCATTTATTTTTGCCTTCCTTTTTGACTGACCACCCCAACTATTCTTCTCTTCATTATCCACGACATTCAACCAATTACTAATTATAAATAAATACCCATTTGCTTTTCATTTTAATCATAAGATAACTTGAGCACAAAGTTGAAGAAAAAGGTGGCCTTAAAAAATATTGAGCAGTTTGGCGGGACCTACGCCCCGAAATTGTCAACCAATATAGACCAAACAGCCCAATATTTTTGTAGGCCACCTTTTTTATGAATTTTATGGTCAAATTACATAACAATCCAAGTGGAAATGGGTATTTAGGAGTTTTTAGTATCTAATTAGGAGATTAAGTTTGCCGACCTCCAGATTGAAATTCCCTAATTCCGAGAGAATTTTTTCAAATAAAATATTTGTAAGTTACGATGAGATGAAGCTATTTACCAAGTTTCAGGCACATGTTAATAATTAAATAAAATGGGGCTGTATCACAGACTATAAATCAGACCAACCAAAACTTTATAAATGATTAGCTTTACTATCCTTTCAATTTAAACCATAATACTATTTCAAAAGTTATTAAAATAAAAATCATTACATCACAGAAAAATATAAAGAAGAACATTTAAAAAATCAGTTTCAATTTAATAACAATTTAGAGAAAAAGATGTCACAGATCTTTTTAGTTATCTATAGTGGGGAAGTAGAATGAAGTATGGGGAAATCGAATCCCATACCTAAAGGAGTAGCTTAGTAATCAATTTATTGTATATTGGGAGGAGGAGGGGGAAAGGAACCAGAAAGTGATTATTACACTTTCACCCTTCTTTTTAAAATTTTAAATGTACTTTTTTGCTTACTTCAGGTATCTCAGAGGTTCCTTGTGATTAAAAGATTATTTAATTTAAATAGCTAAAGCCTACAGAAAATATCACGTAATTTCAACATTTGCAGTAAAATATTTCATGATCTGTTCACTTACACTATCCTATCCAACTTATATTTTCAAAAAATATGTTTTCTTACATCTTAAATTAAATTAGTAAGGTAGCTTAGTGGTAATCTAGCAATGGCCAAGTAACAGTGCAGTTCAGTTACAGATGGCCAAGTAACAGTGCAGTTCAGTTACAGACTCAAGGCAGGGGTTGACATGGAGTCAATGCTTGGAGCTTGTTTAATAATAATAATGAAAATAGATTTTTATTTTATTATAATAGAGCAATTATTGTGTATTTGACATTGAAAATGTTGAGAATTACCTATTTTCCTACAATATTTGGTGTTAATCATTAAACCACATAGGGTCAGCATATTTTATGCTTAAAAAGAAGATCAATAATAATTTACCTTTGGGAAACTCCAGAGAATAACAAAACACTTGTAGGGCATACACTGCAGTGACTTGAAGGTTAATATCCTCATGGAGGAAAGCCTGTAAGACACTTTTAAACCTCTCAAGGAGAGCTTTTTCTTTTTCTTGTACAGCCTTGTCATGAACTGAACCATTTGTCACACCTTTACCCATCGACTCCTTAAATAATCAAAAGGAACACATTAAAATAACAAAGGAATATATGAAAAATTAAGGTTAGTAAAAATGCAGCTGAAACAAATAAATAAAAGGTAGTTATGATTAAATGCTGTGCAGTTCTTATCCTATAAATGTCCACAGAATAAAGAAAATATTGTACCTGGGTGATATATCTAAGACAAACAGTGACAAGGGCTGATACAAAAGATGGAGTTGATTGATAGGCAGCAGCTATGTTCTCTTTAGCACAGCGGTACAGAGAGTTAGCAGAAGGATCCCTTTCGAGTGCAGCCCAAAGCTCACCTTCAAGTAGCAACAATGGTTCTAAGAAGACAAGCCCCCGCTCTTCAAGAACAGTTGTAAGCCGCTCTTTTGTCCTTTCATTCTCTCTCAAGCTATTCAGTAAACTTACCTAATCATACAAAATTATAAAGCAACATAATTACTGAATTGTAAATGTCTACTGAAAACAGGAATAATTTCAGATGATATAAAAACAATACATTTTTATATTAAAATTAATATACTGTCATGACAATGACTAAGGTCATATTATTACAAATAACATAAAAAGAAACAATTCAAACCTTGCTCTCGTTAAACAGCTCAATAAGTTCCTGTTTCTCCATTTCTTTACTGAGGCGTTCAAGAGTGAGTAAAAGGAGGGGGAAGTATGCACCATCTTCTGTTAGCTCTCCCAAAAGGGCAATTGTAAGCGTGTCATTCACAATGGCTGATTGGGCAATTTCTAATGATAAAAAATTTTTGTTATAAAATCAATATACAGTATACAAATTAAAATCATTAAAAGGAAATCTATAAATTAATAAATAAACTAAACAGATCCACAAAAAAAGTTGTGAACTTTAAGAATTAATATTACACTCTGAAATTAATATGCTCTCTACTAGTTTTGGTAAGTGTAATTGAGCAGATATTAATTGAATTAAATCTCATTAGAGCCGAGTTGGGGCTAAAGTCTAAACAAATACAAGCCTGATTTTTTGTTTGTTTGTAGGGAATTTAAAACTTTCCAAATTATCATGGATGTAATCGACCTTTTGCTCAAATGGAGTTATCTTTTCTATATATTGCTGCTATATATATATATATATATAGCAGCAATATATAGAAAAGATAACTCCATTTGAGCATATATATATATATATATATATATATGTATTATATATATATGAATACGTATTGTATATATATATGAATTTATTGCTGCTTTCTCTTTTATTTCAATACTAATAATAAATATTCAAAACTCATCATTGAATTTGATGACAATTAACAATGATGTAGTGTACAAACAAAAAAACCTTTGGGAAATGATATTATTAATTACGTCTTTCGTTTATAGTAATAATAAGTTGAATATAAATTATGAAATAATTTGATAATTTACACAAGGAAAAATTTTCCCCGGTTGATAAGAAATTTGAAATTACAATAGTAATATATATATAAAATAATATAACAGTGTTTATGGCTTTTACTAGAAAAAAACAAAACACTTTTAATTAATTTTGAATACTAGGGGGTAACCCCTGTCCACTTAATGACAGACCAATCCCCATTTAACAAATTATATAGCTATTAATTTAATTATACTACTTGTTGCTCGAATCGTATAACTGTAATTTACATGTATTCTGTAGTTCACATAGTATTATTTTTAATCTACATAAAATAAATGTAACCACACTTCGGGCAAGTTCTTAATTTCTTTAAAAATCTATATTATACATTATTGTGGCTTCATATATATAATTTGTATATAAAAATGTCATTTGCTATTTTCATTCTTTCTTTATCCTCATTCTTCTTACTTAATTCTGTCATCCAGATTCATAAAGCAATGACCGGATTTAATAGAGGTGATGGTGAAGGATTTCCAGAGAGTCCAAAATAATGGACTCCGCCACACTTAGTATCTCGTCCTTTTCAAATCTAGCTTTTCCAAAATACTATCAGTTAAAAGAGGTATTGCCTCTCTACTTCCAAAACAAAGTCATCATACTGAAAAATTTTTATCCCTAAATTCCCCATTAGTTTCTCTTTTAGCTAAGGAAGGAATGCATTTTTATATATTTCCTCCTTCTCAATTTGTATTTTAAGATCTAGCTGCTCATCCTTACTCTCATATGTAATTGTAGGATCAACTATAAGAGCATCATATCTTTTTGCACTAAAGGCCAAGATGTCTACGAATCTTGTTGAACCTTCTGTATCCAGACAATAAACTTAGAGGAAGCATTTATAATTTTTCGTCTCCAGAAATTTGGACATTCAATACTTTATATTAATGTGCCAGTGGGTGACCAGAGTAGAGTTTCCCATTGAAACTACAAAAGATCCAGGCTCGTATCGCCGTGGCACATACATAATTAAAGAGCATAAATTGTATGAAAATTACAAAATAATACAAAAAGGAAAAGGTTCTTAAACAAAACAAGAGTTAACCATTAAATACGAGAAAGGCCTAATGAAAATAGAAGAATCTATTTTGGATAATAACTTAAGTATCTGTCAAAATCAAATGATACACCAAAATCTGGACAAAACCATATAATGCAACCATAAAAACAGTAGATTCTTTTTCATAAGTACTTTGCAATGCACTAAATAAAAGTACTTTGTAATTATATAAAAACAATATTTATAACTAATTAATGGAATAAATTTTCATATTTTGTAAATGTAGTTTATACCAGGAAGCCACATATTATACACAGCAACCAAATATTCCAATAAACTTAGGCAAACAACATATATAAAAATTACAATGTGCATGAAAAAAATCTACCTTAAATGAAGCATCTAAGAAGAGCTTATAACAGATTATTAATATCCAAGAAAGAAGAAAATCGCTGAGTGAGCCATGAATGAAAAACAATGCCCATTACACTATATTATATGTGTTTGAACAAAGCTGTCAGGCATAAATCAATTATTTTTGTGATTTTTCAAAAATCAAAAAGATTAGATATCCAATAAGTTAAAAAATAATCAACTTTTGAACATAAATTAATATAATGAAGGAACCTCTTTTAAAAATTAGATTTCATTTCTTAGCAACAAACCTTTTTCTATCAAGTCCTATATATCTTCTTTGAAGAAAATATAATTAATTGTTTTTCTTAATAATAAAATATGTTTGATAGGAACAAGTAAGTGAAAGAGGCAGATTACTCGAAAATATCCTGGGTGACATGTGCAATAAACCTTTCATTCATTTCCTGTATTTACAGAACACTTAGTTCAAAGCTATTTAAGATCATGTTGATTAATTAGATGATGTGAATATGGGGGGTTTTACAGTGTTTTATTAGACTTTTAAAAAAATAACTTGAATAAGAATAATTTAACTAAAATATAAAAAAAACATCAAATAGTTGTTCTATAAAACAAAATATTCTTAAATTAGTAGTCTTTGTTAATACCTGCTACATATGCATAAATATTAGGAACTGTAGATTCTAGGTCAGAGATCGTTTTTACAAGATTTCTGAAAGTTTCATGGAAATGACTGGAATTAATGACACCATCTTTCTTTAATGTGGTTAAGAAGGTTACCACAGTACTCCTTTCAGCATCTAAAAACATCAACAAACTTTAAAATTTATACCTATTAAACTATACATTAATTATTAAATTATTTAAAATAATATAACTTTTTCAAAACGGAGTATCTTTTTTTTTACAAATGGTTATATTTTAAGGGAAAAAAACTAAATAAACTAAATTTACTTTCTCATACCAATATCTCAAATGTATAGCGAAGGAAAGTATTGCGATTGTAAACAATTATTAATCTGAGTTTTCAATGGAAATACATGTTATAAGGTCCCTTGAGTCAAATTAACCAAGCTTCACAAAATGGTCCGTGTGTGCATGGTGGTCTGTGCAGTCTAGTCTAGCATGAAAATGAACAACATTTTAATCTAGGTATATGTCTGGGATGTTATAGCCAAATGGCTTTTCATAAAGTTGATTTCACACATTTGTATAAATTTCTACAATACAACAATTTTGAAATAAACTGTGTATATTAACGTACAACCAAAAGGTCTTTGATACTAGGTTTTATTGATACTAGGATGTCACAATTGTAAGGTTTTAATTTGTATTGACAAATGTTTTGAAGAATACCATACCCATTAAATTATTAAATAAATATTAAAAAAACTAAGGTGTGTGCCTTAGACCACAGAAAACATCAACTAGGCCTGATTAATAATATGAAATATAAATTATAGTTTATTATGAAGAGGATGAAATGCCGAACATTTCTCTCGCTTAAAGTATGCAGTTCCGATTTTTAATTTTTGAGATATTTAAATCCATATCTTCAATAAAAATTGTTGTAATTTGGTTTTGAACACTATTTTTTTTTCGCTTTACGCCTCTTTAACACGGCGCTGAATTAAGATACAATTTTGAATAATAGCCAATTACAAAGAGAATAAAATGTTGAACATTTATCTTGTTAACAAAAGGCAGGTCCGATTTTTAGTTTTCGAGATAATTCAATTCATATACAAAAATATGAATTTACCGAGCACTACACATCGGAGATCTGATAGCTCACTAAAAATCACTCTTCACAAAAAAATGCAAAACGCACCTCGAAAAGAAGTTTTCAATTCAAAAGAAAAAAAAAGTTTTAACTCCGCCAGTGTCAGTCCACATCATGAATCAAAAAGGAGAATGGAAACAATAACAAAGTTAAAAGATGGTATTAAGAGCCCATAATGAGGGATGGAAAGCAGGTAAGAAGTATGTAGTATGGGCAGGTAGCCCATCTTACTTAGCACAGTGGTAGACGTAAAGCTCATAACTCGCAGCAATGGCAATGTTAGATAGCAGAAATAAATATATTGTTTAAAATCAGATATACATTGTCAGAGCAGAGTTCAAAATGAATGAATATAATAAAGGTTATCAAACTAAATCTAATATTAAATGAAAGTTACCAGTCTTGTCATATGATTTTCGAATGATCATATGGAGGCATTCTGGCATTAAACGGTCAGAAACTTTAAGTTGAGTAAAACTCTTGATTATTTCTTCAATGTTATTTCCATTAACCAGTTCTTCAGCTAAGGAACTTACTTTTTTAAAAGTTTCTTCTTTAGAAGTAGCCTGCAATGAAAAACAAAATTTAACCTTTCGTTTCAAATGAATACTGTATAGGATAGCAACTTAATAATCAGGTAAATAAACAAGAGAAAATAAAAATGTGTGTTCATCAGGAATTTTGTCATAATATAAAACTCAGTAATTTTAATGAGGGAAACGTTTAACAATAGCACTAATGGCATTTATATTCATAAATATTTTTGCAAAGTGTAAAATTAGGAGGATTAATTATTTTACCTTTTCTTTCTTATTTGGCTTTCCTTTATCTGTTGAAACAGGTTTAATTAGAATAGGTACCTCCTTCGTGGTTTGGATCGGAGGGTTAGATTTAAGTGCAGGGGCAGTTAAACTGTCATTAAGTAAACCTGGCGTCCTTCCTAAAACAATTAAGTTCTCTAAATTAATATTATTGTAAATCTGTGGGACAGCAACATGTTTTCTGGATGTGGGATTCAAATTATAAATTAAAAAAAAAAAAATTATATAATTTTAAACAAAATTCATGTTAGTAGCTATTGATTCTGCTTTGCAAGGTTTTTTTTTTTTTTTTTTTTTTGTGCAATATAAGAAAAAATATTATTATGGTATTTAATGATTTATAAATATCTTAACTAACAATAACTAAAAAGCACTTCCAATAAAGTAGACCAAGTAAATTTTTGCAATGACAAAGAAAATTAGATCCGTTATTTTGTGTTCTTTAAAACTCTTATATACAAATTTTTACCGAAAGTAAAAAATTTTAGTATACAATTTCTCGAGGAATTGTTTTCCAGCCAAAAAAAAAAAAAAAAGATCACAGCATAATTGGAATAAAGCAAAATTGATTCTGATATCAGTTCCTTCATTAATTTGAGAAATATACAAAATTAGTAGAAACAAAAATTATATAAACCTTTTTGAGAAAAGTTTCTTCAAGCTAAATGGACAAAATGAGAATTAGATTACAATATATAAAAATATATTCTTGTTTTATACATATTAATTCCTCTAGATATTTAATATTTATATTTTAAAAAGTATTCCATATTTAATTAGGTAGAAAATTAATGGTTATAAGAGCTTTTTAGGGATATTTAGTTTTATTGAAAAAAAAAAAAAAAAAGCTATCCTGACAAAGAGTGACTAATGATTAGATAATTGGAAGATCCAATTATACAATGCTAAATTTTTATTGTGACCAAAAGTGTTATAAAATTTAGGGATGAATGTTAGAATCATGAACCCCACGGCTAAATCATGATTTACAACTAATTTATCATGGTTGGATGGTTGAATATTCATCAAGCTACTTCAGAAAAATTAAATAAGTAATGGAGTTTAATATACAAAGAATAATTGAAGCTCAATTAACCATGTTAATGGTGAACTGAACATGAGTAATTTAAGTTAAAAAACAACTATTTTTAGCCTTACCTGGGTAACCTGAGTACAGTTGAGTGGGTGGCTTTGCATTAGGAGGTTTGAAGAGCATAGAATGTGCTGGTGGTCTGAGAGAAACCTGCTCCAAATTAGCTGCAGATTGTTCATGAGCGGTCATCATTCGCTTAATAAATCTTGGAGCCAGATCTTTTGAATCTGTAAATTTAGATAGCAACTTGATACTAACAATAAAATTTAAAAAACAAAAAATAAAATAAAATTAAAAACATTAAATAACAAACAATGAATACAATATGATAAACAAATGACAATATCTTTCAACATTCAAAATTAAGTAATATATTTAACTATATAAAATATTGTATAATTTAAATATAACTTATTCTTTTTTATTTTTGCAAAAAAATTCCTCTTGAATTGAATGAAGATGTAATCATAAGACAATTATAATTTTAATTGAAAAATAAGAATAAATCTGTAAATGCTTAACTGAGCAACAATTAAAATCTTTTGCAAAAAAATTCCTCTTGAATTGAATGAAGGTGTAATCATAAGAAAATTATAATTTTAATTGAAAAATAAGAATAAATCTGTAAATGCTTAACTGAGCAACAATTAAAATCTTGGTTCCAAAACCTCTATTTTACAAATTATACAATTGTTTATTTATTTAATTGTTCTACTAGTTGCTCAAATTGTATAACTTTAATTTACATGTATTCTGTAGTTCAGATTGTATTATTTTTTATCAACATAAAATAAACTAAACAAAACCACAGTTCAGACAAATTTTTAATTAAATATATATTGTGCCATATTGCCAATTTATATTATATAATTATAATTTCTCTTATTGCTAATTTGTAACCATAATACATATTCAACTTGTCTAGCTTTATCTAAGCCCAACAATAATTTGAGCCTTTTATTTCTAATATTTTCATTGTACGTTACATTGCACTTCCTTTTCTGTTGCAAGATAATTATAATTATATCATAAATAAAATAAATAATATTATATATATCATACTGTATTCAAGGGAAAATGTCTAGATAAAAAAAAAATAACTGCTGTCAACTAGATAAAATCAAACTACCACCTCCAGATGAATATCATTTCCCATGTATAATTTGAGGTAATATAAAGAATAGACCAACCTCCAACACCAAGAAAAAGTTCTTATGTATGTAATTTCAATATTTTTTTTTTGTTTAAGTTTTAAGATTTGATATTTTACAACTAGTGATTCACCTTAATTAAAATTTTCTTTTATATGTTTCGACAATTTATTACAATGTAAAAGATTCTATTAGGCAACTTACGGTACATTTTAGTACAAGCAATTATGAACTAATTACAGATTTTACATTAGATTACACAATCAAATATATATGGAGCTGTTTTTTTAAATGTGGGTTTAAATATCCATTTTTTTTTACAGATGGTGTATTATCTTTTTCCCGATATTTTGTTAACAAGTTCTAGAGGGCTTTTCCAGATAAATTTTGTTATATATATAAAGAAGCCCTTTAATATCACAAAGGTAATATATACCCGGGAGAAAAAGGAAGGCTAACGGTTATGATAACTAAGTGAAAGATCCTTAACAACTACATTGCATTAAATAAAAAATCATAGCACTCTTATAGCACAAAAAAAAATATTAACATAAAAATTACTTACTGGAGACATTATTAGAGTTATTGTTATTATGCTGATTGTTGTATCTATTTTGTTGATAGAAATGGTTGTTCTGCTGTTGATGATGATGGTTCTGCCTTTGTGGACCACGATCCCGAAAGGGTGCTTGGAATCCATTGGAATTATAACTAAAAAAGAATGAAAAAAAAAAAAACATATTAGTACTTCTTTGCCAGAATAATTATATTTGATTATAAAAGTACAGGAACTGGTAGAGGAAACTAGTCCAGCAAGTGGATCTTTTGGTTCTTTTTGCCAATACCAGACGACAAGCTAGGGGGTTGCCGTCAAACACAAACCAGTGTCAAAATTCATTTCTCATAACCGCAGAAAATAAATATTAAGTGACCCAGGTGAAACTCAAACCCACAATGTTCTGAACTGGCTACTTGAGAACCAGTGGTGACTCGATGGGTCTGTGAGCCCCAATGTAATTTTCTGCGAGGTGCCTTCAATATTTTTTTAAAGGAAAAATCTTTTAATTCCTAATATATTTATGTAACATTATGGTGGATAGCAACTTAATTTTATCTTATGGTAAATTTAATTTGTTTAAATTATATAAACAATACATAATTAAATAAGGCTTTTATGCTATATTTAATGGCAAAGATCATCTCTTACGTATGCGTGATACTTAGTCATTAAAGAAGGAGATTTCTAATTTATTTGCAAACTAAATAGTCCAGGAATCTATCCATGCAGAAGAGCTAAACAATAGAAATCTGTCAACATGAATCCGCACAGTATATAAATTGGAGGACAATCAAAAAAGGAATTTTCTATTTTTTTTTTTTTTTCAATAGTTGTTTTATATTTCAAGAATTGATAATGAAATTCTGCGACTAATAAGTGACTAACATTATAAATTTGGTCCAGGTTTATGTTTGAAATCGACTGTTGAAAAACAATGTTTATTAACTTTACCTTATTTCACAGAGATTTGGTAAATACTGACCAATTTTGTAATTATAGGGAATACCTTATATTTTGAACCCAAATAATTGACAACCCCTTATGGCTCACTTACAATTAGTTTTATTATATTTATTTATTATTAGAACTGACCTTCAGGATATCAACAAATTTCAGTTGACAGAATGACTAACTCCAATTTTAAAATTTTTGAGTAATGTCATTTTAGTGATATTTCTAGTTGAAAAAGTTATATCTATACAGACAGTGAGTAATTGATTGCAGTGTTGAAATATAGAACTGTGAATAAAGGTATACATTTTGCCACTAAAAACATCACTAAAATTGATAATAAAAAATGTTGAAATTGGGGTTAGTTATTTCGTCAACCTAAATGCTCATATATGCCTGGAGAAATTTGAAAATATATCTGAATATTTAACCTATAAATTATTTGGGATTGGAGGACTGACTATTAGTTATTAGGAGTTTAGTTTAGTTATTAAATTGTTATTTTCCATTGTAAAGTTTAATAAAATGAAATTACGAGATTTACATTGCTTGCTATGGAGAGGTCAAAAGTTGTCACACTAGTTGTAAGTGGATAATGTTGGGATTTCACAAAGGGAAAATTCATCAAATTATTCACTAATTTAATTTTATAAAAGGTTACTTGATGATTTGTTGGAATAAACGGCCGATAGATACCTAATTATTTAAATATAATATCAAATCTAGAATTATTAAACGACAGTAAATGTATTTAAGGTTGTAAACATCCTTAAATGTTTGTGGAATCGGCCTTAGTACTGCCATAAGTAGGATCAGGGAGATTTATGTGAACATATTTAAACAATACTGGACTGAGAAGAAACAGCGACATTTGAAGCTGTTCCTTAAAGGTCCATGTGAAAAAAGAAGCAAACTACTACTGAGCATGGGAAGAGCAGCTCTTAAAAAGCTTACAGCGATGTACACAGGCCACTGTAAGTTAAATTACCATATGTTCAATATCCGAGTAACGACGAATCCACTATGCAGATTCTGTCAAGAGGAGAATGAAACAGCCTTTCACATCGCTTGTCGATGTGATAGATTGATTCTTAAGGTTTAGACTGGAACTATTTGGGGAGGAACGAATGGATCTCCCCAATAGATATGAGACGGTCAATCCAACCAGCCTACTAAGATACGCGACAGCGGCTGTTAACGCCGCATAGGCTTATTTCTTAATTTTTTCATTATTATTTTCTCTCACATTTACCTCTTTTCAATGTTAACAATAAAATGTTTATTTTTTATTTTTGTAAAAGTTTGAGGGACAATTGTCCCTAAAATGTATTTAAGTTTATGTATTTTTATATTTAGGCTTATTTTGCGATGTATTATCGCTCATTTGTATACACACCAGCCCGGTAGTAATACCCTGTCTTAGGGATTAAGACTTCAAAATACGGCCGGGGCAGTCTGGAGTGGGCCTTCGTTATTGGGTCCACGTAGTGGACAATTTCTCTCCCCATCTCACCAGCCGCTCCAGTTAACTCAAACCCCACCGGCCTAGTATAAGTGCCTTGTTGTTTTTTTTTTTTTTTTTCGGGAGTCTAGAGCTGTCTTTCGTTCAGAGTAGATGTCTACCCCCCACCAATCTCACCAAGCTCCAGGCCGTCTAGTCTCGGCACATCTCACCTAGCGCCATTTTCGAAGATCAGCTGTATGGCGCAGCTGAGTACTCGATACATATCGATAAGACCCCACCATCGATTACTCGACAGCTGGAGATCGGAAGGTAACAGGTTGGAGGCAGAACCTCCAACTTGGCTTGTTGTGTTTATTATTCTCACCAAGACATTTAAATATTAATTAACTGTTTTCTTCGCTAGACTAGTTTATTTTTTTTGGTCCATCATTTTTATCTCTCGTTTTAATTTTAATCCAGAAATTGATTTCTTTTTTTCTTTATTAATAATTGTAATTTTGGGTTTATGTTCGCTGATTTATATTTTGTGTTATTTTCATTTCAGTGAAATTCATTCTACTCTTTATTTATTTTTTTTTAACTATTGTATATAAATTTATATCTCTTTCTCTTTCTCAATAAATTGTACACATTCAAAAGGGGATTTTCATTTTTCCATTATTTGATTTATTGAATATTTCTATTTTTTAATATTTTCTTTGCATGCATTTGTTTTTTTCTCTAATGTTTTACAGGTCTCATTATTCATTAATTTTTTTTCTCCTTCTTTCCCAACGTTTTAATTTTTCTCGAATTTTCCCACCATTGAGGAAACGCACCGGGGAAAGATCTGTACTTCGATTTTGAAGAACCCCTGGCCCCAACAGCGGCAAAAATAACGTTTTCAGAATAAATGAATAACTTAATTGGAGCACAATAGATCCTTCAGAGTTCGATGTGCTCTGAGTCAACATACAAAAAAAAAAAAAAGTCCATTGTTATTTACTGTCATTAGTCATCTGCTAGCCAATTGCTAGATCCCACGCTGATACCATCTTGTTTGGGATGGGATCCTTTGGGATGGCTGTCAGAGAACCCATGAACCGCAATTTCAACTTCCACAAAATTATCAAATGCATGCAAAAATGGGCTAAAATGATTTTTTATATGTAAAATAAAATATTACACAATCACTAAAAACTTTTTTATATAATAGAGAGATATGGATGTAACTTGTTTTCATTTTTGTATAACATAGCACTTGCACTGTAGACCTAGTGCACAGAACAATCATTAATGATAGATTACAGACAGTGACAGAGTAATGATATAAACTAAAATAATGACTCCAGTTATTTCAGGCAATTGTAGAGATTAAAACAGGCGATCCATTAATTTTTTCAGAATGCTGGAATAGCGAATTGTCGAACTGTGTTACAATAAAAAAAAGGCTTGGCAGACTAGAAACCCTTAGCAAGGCCCTATGGTTTGCAGCAATTACATAAGTGGGACTGTTACAAGCGGACAAATTCTAATAGAAAATTGTTTTCTTATTTACATAAAATAAATAATAATAGAAAGATTAACTTACGGTGAATTTGAGAATTTGTCATGTTGTGGGAATGAAAAACTACTTGAGAGAACAACATCCAAACCAGTTCGTTGTTTGAGTTGTCGGGGGAACAATTCTTGCTGCGGTGGTCTTTCACCACCTCTGATGGCAGGTCCCCTATCATCACAAATCTGACAAAAAGATAAATATTACTAATAAAGTTAATATCAATAAATGAGTGGATTAATATCAAAGAAGGACATCTGTCATTTTCAGAAAGCAGAAGAAAAAGTCAATTTTTGTTTTACAGGTTCAACTCAAACTGTTTCTGATTGTTTCATTTTAGAATGTTCAAGTTGATCATGGAAAAAAAAAAAAAAAAAAAAATGTAGAACTGGTTTAAATTGAAAGATGTCTGTCTTTAATATTAAGCCACTCAAATATATAAACAAAGTTATCAATAATATTATAATTTATTTAATGAATATATAATAAAAAAGTACACACATTTAGTATCAAGAAAAATAAATACTCTTTCAATAGGAATTAATTAAATATGTTAAGGAGTCCTAATGGGACAAAATTAGTGTAGAGAAATTACCAGACAATGCAGGATTTTTTAATATAAAATCAACATTATGACTGAAATCATAACAACATACAGGAAATGTTTAATACAAGTTTTGGCAAAGGAGAACAGAAGTACATATCCTTTATTCAGAGATAGATGTATAGTTGACGGTTGAAATTGTAATATGATATTTCAGCCCACATCCATGGTTTGAAATGTTGACAAACTTAATAAACACGAATGTATAATGTGTATTCTGATTATTTTTCATCCTTATCCTTCAATATTTTCCAGGTTTGAATCCCTGCTATGGAAAAATTATTTATTCTGTTTCATTAGCCACGGGGCATACCCAGTCTCTGTAAAGTCGCTTTATAGTTCATCCATTATTAAAACAAAAGAGAAAAATAAAATTTTGGACAGTTTTTCCTGATTTGAAAAACAAACAGAAATTGTTTTGTTTTTGACTAGTTGAGTCACTAGATTATTCACTCAAGAAAACAAATCCACGATAGCAAAGACAGCAGCCACACAGCCATTTTGTTACATAGAGACATATAATCAGCCGAGGAAGCTTTCTTGGATTTCTTTTCATGGTCATATACCAAATGAATTGCTGAAGATTAATCAATATCTTGTTGTTCAGCTTCTCCAAATACCCCCTTTATTCAAAGTTTGTAAATCAGTGATAATATAGAGATCAAAATTAGGAAAAAGTGACAAGTTTCACAAGCTATATTGTAATAACCTTACCTATTAAATATACTAAAGAATATGTGTTTGACACATCCTGCGTCATGTAATGTAACGTAAGACCACTTTAATAAATATTCTATTTACACACAGTTTTTAAATTGATTATGTAATCAAGATAATTTTAAATCCATAATTGCATATATCCTACAATTACTAATTCCAAGTTAAAAGATGGTGTTAAATTACATTTTGTGTGTTAAAAAAAATAATTGTTTTTGTATGAAAATTTTTTTAATAAAAATAAATTAGATGTAAATACCTGATTAATAGGTAAAGGCCCTTCAGTATTATTCGCCTTTCTTGGAACCCATTTACTCTTTCTAAGCTCAATGATGTCCCTCAACATGAATTTAATTCTGATAGGTAATCCATGGGTTTTAGTAACAACCTCCATTCTTTTGAAATACTGATCCATTAATTGTCTTGCCTGTTCAGAATCAAGAACCTGACCACAAGTACGTAATATCTGACAGAGGCACTCCAGATCCTCTGCCATTTCCTCGATATCAGGTTTTTTGTCCAATAACTGCTTCATGCAGTCGAACATCACCACTTTCGATACAATGCCAAGCTTGCATAGTTCACCTACAAACTACAAATAAAAAAATTAGTATTCTATAATGACAAAGTGATGAGTTTAAATTTTTTTTAAAGAGTTTGTAGAGAAATGACAAGAATGATTTTTTTAATCATAAACTAAATTATAATTAAGTAATAATTTCCTGCACATAAACAACTGATAGTCAAATAAAGTTGAAAACCTAATGTATATATGAAAAACAAATTGGCGTTCAATGTTTATATATTAATCATATAATTTTATTAATTATAGAAGGAAAAATACACAAAAAAAAAACAAAATCTGGTGCGCGCAACACACAACTTTCACTTACCGATCTACTTTGAATAGAAATTATTTTCTGGCAATGCTGGGCTATTATAAAATTTTTTGAAGTGCATTTTAAACGGAGCTAAAGGTTACAGATAACAAGTCATTAAGACCATTATAATTACAAAACGTCTATTTAATATATCGACGACAGGCAATAAAAATCTATTCACTCTATCTGCTTTTATAAACCACAGAATGACTCTATCAGCTTTTATAAACCACAGAATGATTCTATCTGCTTTTATAAACCACAGAATGACTCTTATCTGCTTTTATAAACCATAGAATGACTAACTCCAATTTCAACATTTTTGAGTGGTCATTTTAGTGATATTTTTAGTTGAAAAAGTTATCTATGCAGACAATGAGTAAGTTGATTCCAGAGGTGGTGATTGCAGTGTTGAAATATAGAACTGAGAATAAAAGTATAAATTTAGGTACTACTTTCTTATGAAAGATGTTCTTAGGAAAGACACTTTATTAAATATCTGTAGAAAAAAAGTTTTTTTAGTCTCAACAATTAAAAAAATATATTTTAAAATTATCTAAATTATCACCTCTTCAGGGAAAAAAACTAGAGACCATATTTTTTCTCCTAATTGTCCAATTCTAACGATTTTTTAGGAAATTCCATAAACTTTTAAAAAACCATACAATATCGACAAAAAAGCATATACTTTTTGAGTTATTCGGAATTTAATTTTAACATCCCTCGTAACTTTTTTCCAGCTTCTTTTCGTTGAAGTATGTTATATAGATAAATTTAAAGGGTATCGAGAAAATGACTTGAGCAAAGTTTCATTGAAATCGGTAAATTCGTTTAGGCGCTACAGTCTGTAGGAACGCAGGTTTTTCTGCATTTTTATTTTTTTTCTCCTTTATTAATTTATCAAATTCTTTCAAAAGTTATATGTACCATTTCTTCGTAACTCTGAATAATGTGAAATGGTTAACTTTTTAAAATAAACCATATTAAAGGTACTTTAGAGGAAGACATATATGAACATTGGGCATTTAAGCCCTGTAAAGTGACATCAACGGGGATAAGACCTAAATGATATTAAAGACCACTTAATTATACAATGATACACCGAGTTTATCAAAATCGTTAGTCGTTTTTGAGAAAATTGTAAAAATGTGTTTCAGCGTTCATATAAAGTGGCACTTCCAGTTAGGCGATTTTAACGAAAAAGTTTCTGTCACATCTGGCCCATATACAAACCTTAAATACTTAATATCAGTTTCGTACTACTTTTCGTTTATGAGCTAGACTGTTAACACACACACACATAGACCATTTTGCAACACTTGGTTATTTGAACTCAGGGGACCTCAAAACATGTATTTCCGTTGAAAACTGAGATTCGAAAATTTTCACGATCGCAATACTTACCCTTACTAGATATTACATATAAACGTAAGTGAAAGTAAAATGACATTTCAATCAAACACAAGTAGTAATAATAACTAATAATTTAATTTAACTCAGTATTAACTTCATACAATTAATTTAAATGTTTTTAAAGTTCATAAAATAAAATAAATTTATTTACCTTAATGTTACCTAAGGACTTCCTTTTATCCACCTTATGTTCGGTTCTAGCTTCAAATTCTGCCTTACAGGTGTTGAGCAGAAGGTGTCTGAAAGTACACTGACTTCCATCTTTGGTGTTTGCAGTTGGTGCCTCTTCACACAGCCGCTGGCATAGCCGGGCATACATAGAACTGTATTTCGGTTCATCGAGAGCTTTTTCAAATACCTAAAAAATAATTAAAATGAAGTGACCTGAAAGATGTCATTAAATATTAACAAAATTAATTTTTTCAACATATATTAAGCATCAATAGATACATATTAATGTTTTTCATTAGTACATATAATCTCTAGAAATTATTAAATTTATAACTTAAAAAATATTTAAATCTTTATTATATAATAATATATAATATTATAGATGTTATAGAAGTCCTCAGCTCTTATGGCAAGCTTCTTAATTTTTAAACCAGGAGTTCTTTTTTATGAAATTGAAAATTTATTTTATAAAATTAGTAAAGCACAACAAACTCCATAACAACGTATTTTATAGTGAACTTCTTAAAATTTAAAATATATAAATGTAATAGTAAATATGAACAGAACAAGTAATAATAGAACAAGAAATGAAATTAACTATGGAATCAGAAAAGCTTGGAAAGTGAGAGCAGACTAACATAATTAAACCCCTGGCGAATCACAGCCAATCTTATCTAGCCAATCTGATTCTGACTTTTTAAAGAGATTTGTATAGATTTTGTAACTGGTACTTAAGATATGATAAAGTGGTGGTGAGATTATTTTATCTAGAAAATAATTAATATTGTAATATATGAGGCATTGTGGATACGAAGGGCGAACTCAAGAAACCTGAATATTGAGAAAACCCCAGTGTAAAAGTTTCGAAACTTGCCTGATAGCAGGTAGAGACTATCGGGTCATTCTTATCTAATGTTACATCACATAACCTCCCTTCTTATCTTGTGTAAGCTATGAGTTAATCCATTGTTTATTTTTGTTTCTCTGTAAGCTGTGAGTTATTCCATTGTTTATTTTTGATCCATTTGTGTGATTTTCGTCAAACTATTGATGCTATTACATTCTGGGAATTACCGTCTTCAGAAGAACAAGCTATCGAATATTTTCAAAAGGCCGTGATAATTCCAATTAAGGCAACAACTTTATTACATGGTATTAAAAACAATATACAAGAGTGCAGCACCATTTATTCTGACTGTTGGAAAGGATAAAACACCCAACAACTGAATGAAGCAAACTATAATCATTTCCAAGCGAATCACCGGAATAATTTCGTTGATCCATCAAGTGGGGTCCATACTCAACACATGGAAAGATTATGTGGCTCAGCTAAGTGGAGAAATAAGAAACAAAGAAGAACTGAACTGCTAGACAACACCTCAATTCATACGTGGGCGGGGTGGCCGAATGGGCTAAAGCGTGTGCACTGAACTGCCGTTGTCTGGCAACCTGACATATGAATCAAAGAAAAAATAGTCACGAGTTCGCGTCCCGGTGCCGGGGGAGTCTTTTAAATCCCTGCCCACACTCCCTGGCCCGGAAAAATCCTGTATAGCCTTAACGGCGAGGAAGGGAAGGACCCAAAAAAAAAAAAAAAAAAAAAAAAAAAAAAAAAAAAAAAAAAAAAAAAAAAAAAAAAAAAAAAAAAAAACCTTAATTCATATTTATGTGAATTTTTGTGGCGGCAGATTCGCAGAGAAGAGGACCCATTCCTCATATTTTAAATAGCATTAAACTAGAGAAGAGGGCCCATTCCTCGTATTTTAAATAGCATTAAACTATTTTGTCTACCAAAATAAATGAAGTGAAAATAAAATTGTTTTATATATATGTATGTTGTTTAAGTGTTTTTTTTATTATTTCATTTTTTTTATTATTACATTAATTTTTGTCTATATGTGTTTGGTTATTGTTGTGTTATAAAATATGTTGATGTAATATCAAATAAAAGTTTTTAAATTTCTTATTTGTTATGTCTTTTGGGATATGAATTGGTTCTAAAAATATTGTTAATTGTTATAATTATCTAGCAACAAATTAGCATTATTATATCTCAACTTTTTATATAATATATTGTAATGTAAATACTATATTGTGAATTTAATGGGTCAATAGAATTTTAAATAGTGGAGTGAAAGCAGAGATGTCACAAACTACTGTCAAAAATTGACAAAGAAATGGAGAAACAGATATGGAAGGGGAAGCAAGAGCCATATGAGAGAAGAGAAGGTAACCAGCAGGCGAGAAAGCAGAGGATCGAGACTAGCACAGAGTGACAGGTCAGCAAGTAGCGATTGTCTAGACGAGAGAAAATAAAGATTAAGAGACGACATTGTAGAAGTTGAATACAGTAAAGCCAGCAGCATCAATATAGAGGAAGATTCACTGCGGACCAGGGTGAGTGCAAAATAAATAGTGACAATTAGAAAGCGCCAAGAGTAGACCCCAACAAAACTGATTGGAAATTCATAAAAAATTAATGTATGCTTTTAGATTATATAATTGAGAAAGTGTGTTTAATTGTCTCAACCCAACCTGAGAAATAATTTAAAATAATTGTATAAAATAAAAATAATTGGGTCCAAAAACTGTTTGTTTACTTTTCAAAGGAAACGTAACCTAACAATATATATTTTGTGTAATAAAAAAATGATTTACCAAATTAATGGTGAAAAAAATAAGGAAATAGTTTCACTCTATTGTTTAGTATCAATTACTAATATCATAGTGCTGCCTGTTAGGATGTAATTACCATAAATAATTATCATTAATCTTTTAAATTACTAATTTTTAGATTAATAAAAAAAAAAAAAACCTGTACCACTATAACCCATGAAGGGTCTTGGGTTCAGCACAATGTGAGGAAGTACTATTACAAGGCCAACGGATGTGCAGGGAGGTGATGGGGCCAATATCAAGCTCAACTGCCAGGTTTTCCCCTTTGATTATTTTTTAATTAAGGGTACCCATTTTATAAAGGCTGGGTGTGTTCCAGGAGGGTCTCCCGACCATAGGATAGATCCATGGCTAATGAAAAATCACTAGTCACTAGGATTCGAACCTAGGACCTTGAGCTCTGGAAGTCAGAGCTCACCCACTGAGCTACCCCGCTCCCTTTAGATTAATAAACATAAATTAATTAATGTTTGGTTATTAATAAATGAGCTATTTCAAAATCTTTATGTAGTATCTAACATGCACAGAACATCCCTATACATTCATTCATGAATAATAAATTTAAATTAATGTATACAACATGCTATACTTACAAGGAAAATGACACCCTTTAATATTTTATCAGAATTAAGTTCTACTTCTAACAGGTCATCACTTAGCTTCTCAAATTTTTCAGGGGTAAGCTTGTTGAGAATTCCCCGGACCTTTAGAGAACAAAACACATTTTAAAACAATAAGTATATATATGCTTAATGGTAAAATATATATATATTTTTAATAGACTTTTATTAATAATAACATCATTAATTATTGATATATAAATTTTAGTCTATAGGCATATTGTACATAATAATGAGGCAATTATTTCAAATTTACGATATGACCAATTTTTGAAATGAGAAACAAGAACTCCAATTCATCAGCTCCAAGCTAAAGAGTATAATCTACATAGGCCTTTTAAGACAAAGATACAAATATAAAGGTTTAACTATAGTAAATTTTTATCCCTATAATATAAAATTTGAAATCACTGATATCAGAAGTAGTAATGAGATGATACCTACTCGACGGAAAATAAGTTCATTTCTATCTTCTTGGGAAAGAGCATCTCGCCTGACTGTAGAGGGAGGAACCCAGCGTTTAGCTGAAATGGCACGATTATCGTCCCTAAAAATAAAAAGAATTCTGATTTAACAACTTTTAAATTACAAAAAAATAATAATATAATTTTTTTTTATTAACATAAATATTTAATCTGTCATGGCTAGCTGATTTGCTATCAGTAAAGTGTTTTTGCAACAAGCAAAATTTGTACAATTCTTGGAAGAGGGTAAGATAAAAGTTGGGTAGAGATGTATGGCTTTGTGGTGGAATTAAATGTTTGGGCTAATGGGTTCACGTTATAAGTCAATCTCTGGTAGAAGTTTTTAAAGCATTGTGTTACACTAGGGGCGAAATGGACGAGCGGGCTAACCTTTAAACAACTGGATGAAAAGATGTATGAATTCGGCCACTCCCAGTGAATAATATTTGTGGACTTCTCTCTAATTAGAGATAAACTACAGTGCAATGAAAGAAATGGATATCTCTAAAAAACTCATTGGACTAACTAGGCGTGCAAAGGAAAACAATATATGCCAAGTCCTCAAAAGCAGAAATAGTAGTAGCTGGTTTAATATGAACACAGGGCTGAGACAGGGAAACGCACTGCAACACTACTATTTAATCTAGTATTACATAGAATTATTAGAAAGACAGGACTGAACCATGGCAAAACAATATTTACAAATCCTAGCGTATGCAGATGACATAGCAATTATTGGGAAATCACAAGCTGTTGTGGAGAAAGCGCTTTGCAAGATTGAGCAGTAAGCGAAATATATGGGACTAAGAGGGAATAAAAATAAAACCAAAATGATGTGCATTAAGAAACATGATGTGGCCCCACAACAAGAAGTCAGTTTAGGAGAAAATGCTTTTGATGCCATTCCATGCTTCCAATACCTCGGAGCTACAATAACAGAAAAGATGGAAGAGGAAGCTGAAATAAGATGCAGATTAGTAGCAGCCAACAGGGCATATTTTTCCCTATATAAAATTATTAGAAGGAAGCTATTTAGTCGCACTACGAAAATAAGGCTGTACAAATGCCTCATAAAGGCAATAGCAACTTGTGTATGCGAAACATGGATGCTCAACAAATCAATTGCACAAAGGTTTGACTGTTTCGAGAGGAATATCCTGAGAAGCATCTTTGGACCAGTCGAAGAAAACGAAGCTTGGCATCTGTGCCGGAATGCGGAGTTATCACAATTTGAGTATCTCCAACTTTGTTAGGTTGCAGAGAATAAAATGGATTGGTCATATCATAAGGATGAAAGACTATAGGTGTCCTCTAAAAGTGTAAATAAACAGGCCAGATGGGACAGGAACCAGATCATGCTGGCAGGATGGTGTCCTTACACCATTCTGACAAGCAGGAATGAGCATATCACATGCTGTAGATAAGATTGTTTGGGGCAAAATGATCGAGCAGGACAAGGGCCGCTTCATGCGTCTGTCACGCCATTAAAGAAGAAGAAGAATTAATAATTAATTCTAAATATTGGATAATTAAATACTGTAAAAGACTCCAGAATATTTTATTATTAATGAAATATATACTATCCTGTGTTCTTGTTCTTGGGTATGAACCCAATAGGTCTAAGTGAGTACAATATTCGATTAGTATAATATTATAGATAGTTCAATGTTATCAATTAACTGTTAAACTAAAATATTTTCCAGTGAGACAAATTAACTAATTATGACACAGAATTATCCTTCGGCATAGTAAGTATGAACTTCTTATTTTATCAATGTGTGCTTTGTATATAGACTTTTTTGAGTTTATCATAACAAAATATATTTCTCAATACAGCTTATATTTCAAACACATTAGGGGGGAAAAAAAAGGATAAATATTTAATGCGAGAGATATTTAGTGGACATTTCTGGAATTAGGTGTCACTAACAATCACTTAAAAATAACAGAAAAAATAGTAGAGGTATAGTCAAGTGGTTGTAGAAGATCAGACTAGTTATGAACAGATAGGTTTAAAAACAAGCTCAATTTTCAATCTAAAATAACATTTCATAGGAAAGGGGGGATGGATATAAGGGGTGTCTAAAAGTTTTAAAGTATTTAAAAAGTACCTTTAAAAATAAATAAATCAAAAAATACTACTGTGATTTTTATAAAGTACATAATACTGAGAAGTTAAGTAAATTAAGAAATGAACAAGTCATACAACTCGCATTAGTTGTTTAAATACATTTTAAAAACTAGCGAATTAAAATGAACACTTAACAATAATTTCTCAAAAAATTATTAATTAACTTTACTTGATAATTTAGTCATTGTCATAATTTTGTCACTTACCTTCCTCCGATGACAGGAGAAGCCCCCCCTGCTCTTGTTGGCCCTTCCGTTGTGGATCTGAACTAAACCAACACAAAATCCTCCACCGACGTGCGTCTAGGAATAAAAAATTTAAAAATAACTTTAAAATAATGAAATATGCAAATCAAAATAATGTTAATGTTATAATAAACTTTAAAATTAATATCGAAATCCTTAGACATCATAATGGAGAGATCAATATGAAACTAAAGTCTCTTATCTTTTCATTTTACGAAAGCTATGAGAAAGATAGTTGTTGAATATTAAAGTTTCTTCAAAAATATATATTATTTTATCTTCAATTATTCAAAAGCTAGAGCAATAATAATTTTATGTTAAAATTCTGATTACATTTTGGTTTTTTGAATTAGAGTACCTCAGACAATGGGAAAGTGAAAGTAAAAATTAAAGATGCTATATTTATTTATATTTCATTGTGGATATTTTTATTTGTTTAAATACCCTTATATAGATAAATTTTAATTTTTATAAAGCTGAATTCTATACAATTAAATAATACCATCGCATGAAAACCGCATATGCATATGTACATAATATTGTCATAGTCCATATTATATTAAGCTCATGTTATATGTATGGAAGACTGTACTAATCTTCGAGTGAGCTTACGTAAGCTCGCCCTCGCACGCATCCCTTTGGTTCCTTCATTACAACTATTCTCTGCCATGATCTCATATATCTCCTTTAGTTAATTATGGAATTCTTTCATATTTTCTGATATAATTAATACGAAAAGGATAATGAAATAGAAAAGGAATCGCAATATAATGTACAATGAAAATATTAGAAATAAAGTCTCTAATTGATGTGGGCTTATATGAAGCTGAACCAGTTGAATGTTTTACATGGTTACAAATTGGCAATAAGAATAATTATAATTATATAGGGTCATTCCATATTGAATGCACTAATATAAAGAAAAATACAAACTTTTAGATTTTTTTGACTTGTGGTTTTTGAGTATTCATTCATTTTTAAAATAATAAAAAAACCTCAAAAGCTGAAACCGTTGTCATACTTTTTGGTTGTTTATGTTCTTTCTTTTGATAGACGACATAACTATATTAAAAAATTATAATATTTTTTAAAGATAAACAAAACTTTTTTTTTTTTTAATAAAAAACCTTTTAATTTTTATTAAAGAATTATGTTATTCTATTGTAGCATATGGTGGCTTAAAGTGTTCCAAATTTCTAAGTGTAGAAACAATTGGGTTCGCTAGATGAAAAATGTGGACCTACAATTGGTACACTAAAAACGCTGTCGAGGTCTGCTAATATTAAAATATACGTATTTTCTAATTTAAATGTATGCAAAAAAATTATATTTAAATGTTTCTGATGTGTAAATTTATTCAAAGAAGTACAAAACATGAATAAAATATTTATATGTCACTGTTGAAGTCTCTTATTTTTATAGATTTTTGTAAAATTATTGTTATTTATTTATTTATTTCTTCACTGAATAGTATGAATAGTGGAAAAATAATTTAGTTTAGCATTAAATTACAATATATATAGTAACTAATTATATGGCGCAGTAGATGAAGTTGAAAACTTTAAAAATTGTAAACACCATCAAGGTAACCATAATATAGTAAGTGCCAATATTGGAGTAAGTATATACAGAATAATATTTAATACACCTTAATGCTATTTAAATAAAATACAATAAATCTAGGCCTACATACATATTTACAATTTCATTTGTAAATATTATATATTCAATTTTTTGTATTCTTTTGAATAAACTTACATTTAAGTAACATTTGAATAAAAATATACATGCATAAATTTAAAATATATATATTTTAATATTGGCAGAGCTTGACAGCGTTCGTAGTGTACCTATTGTAGATCAACATTTTTTATTTAATGAACAAATTGTTTCTCCCCTTTGAAATTTGGTACACCTATAGCCATTGCTAGAATAACATATTTATTTAATAAAAATAAAAAAAAATTTCTTCTAATTTCAAAAATAAATATTTTCGTTATCTTTAGAAAATATTATAATTTTAGAATATAGTTAAGTCATATATCAAAATAAAGAGCATGGACAACCGAAACAGATGACACCAGTTTCAGCTTTCTAAGCCAAATAGTTCTTAAAAAATAGCCGCAAAACATTTTAAAAATACACAGTTTTTAGAGGTTTTTTATTATTTTAAAAATTTATAAATCAAAACTGAAGTGCAATAAACCTAATTTTTTTTTTCTTATATCAATGCATTCAACAGATAAGCAAAAAATTATTAAAATCCAAGACCCAATGGATCAGGTAAATAATTTATCCGAACTCTGGTTTCATTTATTTAATTTTATGTCAATAAAAAGTAATACAACCTGAACTTAAAAAATACATTTAAATTACAGTTATACAATTTGAGCAACGAGTAGTAACATTAAATGAATAATTTGTAAAATAGGGGCTGGTTCGTCAGGCAGACAGGGGGTACCCCCTAGTTATATTTAATAAAATTTCACTTAAAGAAAAAAGTGGTGCAAACCATGAAACAGCCATTTTTTTAATAATAGATAACAAAATTTTCAAGTTGAACTTGTTTCAGTATCATTTTGGATCGTCCGTAATACTCATATAATTATTATATGATTATAAAAATTCTTTGAATAATAGTATTTGATATCAATCAATTAAGTATTTGTCATAGTGATTAGATAAACATTGATTTCATAAAATTGATAGTGAGAAATAACAGACTTTAAAACCTACATAAGTGGGAAACATTTGTCTGATTTCACACAGAAACTAAGAAATTCAAGTTTTGTACTTTCTTTTTTTAAGTCAGGCACGCTTTGAATTGAATTGAAAGTGATAACTAAAAAGTATTTGAATATAGTAATTAATAATCGTTTCAAAGTAAACTAGATGAAATTTCCTTATATCCTAAGTAGACATTGCCTTTATTAATCAAGAAGAAATTTTTAACAAGTATAATTAAGGTAAGTTCTGTTTTTTTACAATTATAGATCATGAATCATTATTTGCGATTTTTTCCACCTACTGAATTACAGATCCTTCATCAAGCTAAGTCAAATATAAAAATTAACAACAATAATATGATAAAAAAAAACAAAATTTACATAACAATCTTTAAAATGAATGAAAACTTAACAATTTAATACGTTAACTAAACACTATTTATCACGTAATTTATAATGGTCCTCCCTCCTCTTCTGCTGGTTGGATGAGGGATAAAAATAAAACTATGGTCCACATGGACTTTCCCCACCCCCTTAAAATTACGTCTTGTTTTTTTTTAACTGCTACTAATTTAATGAATAGATAATCCTCAAAATTGAGTATTATTGGTATTTGAGCTTAATACATTATTTTTATTTTCTCCCCTCCTCCCCCTCAAACAAAATCCATTCTTTTCAATTTAAATGCAGAGTGTATGAGTTTTACCATACTATTTTTATGTGGGAATGAAAAATTTCCAAAATGATTCTTGAAATGAGAGGTATGGCCTGCCCCAAGTAAATAATCTTTAATACTTTTTGTTAGTTTCCTTTCGGTCTGCCCGATATAAACGGCTGACTGTGAGACTCGATCGAGTAAAACCCATTCTTAAGGTGGAATTCCACTGAGGCAACATGGAGCTTGCGGTATTGACGCATACTACACACAGTCTTTTCATAGAAGGAACACAAAGCGACAAAAAATAAGTCTCCTTGCCGCATGCTACAAGTTGACCGTTGTTGCCTGTCGAATGCATTATCTCTCCAGATGATTCAACGTGTCGAACATTGTTGCCGTCTATCCAACAGCCCTCGGATCGGTGTGGCTTGTTACCGGCAACATGGAGTGGACAAACAAAAAATGTCTTTTATTGACGATTATTATTATTAACAAAGATATAAGAATTAAAAACGATAAGTTAAAAAAAATACAGGATAAATATAATTATTGTACGATGATATAGGTAAAAATAATTGGTTAATTTATTAATCGTTAATTTATTTAAACAGGAAAATATAATTGTGCGGTGAGAGGTAAAAAATAACTAAAAATTTTTCAGCATTTCGTAGCGAGCGCGTAACCGGAAAGGGTTTGCGCATGAGCTACTGAATTTTTATTGGACGTCGATGTACCCAATCTATATTGTATTGTCAAGTGCTGAGTGATTAGGTGATGACACGATGATGAAGATCAGCAATGACACGAAATACACTAGCTTGAAACCCAAATGAAACGAGACCCCATGAGAAAAAATCTACATTATTTGATGAAACTTTATAAATATTTCTTGAATATTTATTTAAAAAATGTGAGTTTGCCAGTCGAATCTTAATTCCTATAAAAACGACGACTGACTTAAATGAATATTAGGCCAATAATGAAAGTTGGGCCTACCGTTACTGTTTGTAATGACATGATGAACCAAACTAGTTGCTTGAATGGAATAATCGCTTTAGTCGCATGCTACACAAATGTATGACAAACTGCATGCGACATTAATTGAATATTGTGCCACATAGTCGGACGCCTACAATAGGCCAAGCTAGGAAACAAGTATCAAGCAACATGTTCCGTTCCGTGTTGCCTCAGTGGGATTCCGCTTTTACTGGCAACATGGAGTGGACGAACGAACAAACTACGTCTTTTATTGAAGATTACCATAATTCGAATTATGGAATAATAAAATCGCCGAATACAAATATAAGAATTACAAATCATAAGATAAAAAAATTGTTATATAAATATAATTACTTTACGGTGATACAGGTAAAAATAATTGGTTTATTTATTAATCATTAATTTATTCAAATAGGGAAATATAATTGTACGGTGATAGAGCTAAAAATTAATTAAGAATTTGTCAGCATTTCATCGCGAAAAACTTCAGCAAGAAAAGAATGACTCATGGTTTGCCTATGAGCTACTAAATTTTTTATTGAACTCGATGTACCCAAACCAATATTGTAAACTGCTGAGTGTTTAGGTGATGACACGATGATGAAGATCAGTGTGACAAGAAATACACTTGCCAGTCGGATCTTACTTCCTGTAAAAACGGCGGCTGATTTAAT